GCAGTAATGTATGAAATGTGAATTGCTGCAAGTTGCTGTACTGCACACGTTACCGAGTATGCTACTACAATGCAATAGTGTAACCAGGTTCTTAATCACTGACCAGAAACAATCATGCAAATAAGGACTTCAGACTTTTCTCCGACTTTCTTGATCTGCATACACAGAAAGTATTGCAGCCAAGCAAAACCAAACGACCAGCATTTTGTGAAAGAGCTTAACAATGGCAGCCTCCATGGTGTTCTCATCACCAGGTCCCTTAAAGTCATGTCATGCTCTCAAAGTTGGTATAAAAAAAAAAGCTAAAAATAAAGTCTAATAGCTGTTATTAGCCAGTGTTTATTGCTGTAATTGTCTTTAAAGGGGAATCGTTATCAGTGATGATATGGCCTCATTTGATTGTTAAATGATAAGTACTAGCTGTGCAGAGTGGGACAGGTGCTAAGTGGCAGCACCGGAGCGGAGCTGCCGGCGGCCTGGCAGGGCCATTCCTGGCTTATTCTGGATCTGGGAATGTGGAATCCGCCACGGTAATGAACAGAACGATTCTAAGAATAGTTGCAGGGCGAGCAACTTTTTTTATAGCTAGATACTAACTCTGCAATAATAACAGCTACTAAACATAAATTACAAGTCGGGTTATGCAAAAGAGGTCTTAATAACATTCATGCATAAATATGCAAATGTTTTTGGAACGCATCAGGGTTCGAATACATTTTAAGGAGAACCGTCACAAAAAGCAATGTACTTACAGGAAACCTTTGAAGAGGCATTGCTGTGGGGCTGCTATTTTGATCCTGGCTTTACTATTTTGTGACATATCTAGAACAAGCATACGGCCGGTGAAGCCAAGGTTGCCTGCATGCTTGTTACAGGGCAGCGATCCACTAGGCAGTGAAGCTGGGGTCAGTATGACAGCCTTGGAATGTGCACCTCTATGTACAAGTCAGCAATGAGAGCTGCCATATCACTTTCATCACTGATTTACTGCAAGGACTTTTATGTGAATATATTTCTCATCAGCCACAAAGGATATAAACAAGCTGCCTGCAGAAAACTAGAGGAGAGGGTGGAGACAAGACCAATCACCCTGCACAAAGAGACAGAGATAGCAGTGACCGGTCTTTATTACAGGAGGGGGTGGAGACAAGACCAGTAGTGTTTGGTCTTTATTATAGGAGGGGGCTGAGACAAGACCAGGCATCCTGCACAAGGAGAGAGAGCAGCAGTAGACTTGTGCACCGTCAAAAAATTTGTTCTGTTTCGTTTCGTTTTCGGAATATCCGTTATTTCGTATTTCGTAATTCGTAACTGAACTCAATTCGGATTCGTACGAAATACGAATTTTCGTTAGTGGCGGTTATATTTTCGGAACATCCGTTATGATGAAGCTAAAAAGCAAAATACCTTTGTTAATATTGGAGTGGTAGTTGTTTTTTTGTCCGAAATACGAATTCCGTTAACGGATTCCGTATCTGAATTTCGGATTTCGGATTTTTAAAAAAACTACATCAACTCCAATATAAATGTGCTTTGCTTTTTAACTTCAATATAAAACGAATGTTCGTAACGGAACGAAAATACGTCAACGGAATTTCGTATTTCCTGCCTGTATTTGTAATGCAATTCTCAGCAGCAGAAGAGAACCTCTGATTGGTCAACCAAAACAAAATACGAATTCCGTTAACGGATTCCGTATCTGAATTTCGTATTTTGGATTTTAAACAAAAATACCTTCAACTCCAATATAAATGTACTTTGCTTTTTAACTTTAATATAACGAATGTTCGTAACGGAGCGAAAATCCGTCAACGGAATTTCGTATTTCCTGCCTGTGTGTGTAACTGTATTGTAATGCAACCCTCAGCGGCAGCTGATCCGTATTTCGGATTAAAAAAAAAATCTTGTCATGTTGTTCAACCTCATTTACAGGGGTAATATTAGTTCCTGTTTCAAAGAAATTCGGATCCGAAATTCGTTAACGGAATTTCGTATTTCGGATATAATTCGGAAACTGCCATTCGGATTTCGGATGCTCCGAAATTCGGAATTTCAGGAAAATTCGTACGAATTTCGATTTGTAATGAAACGAATCGCACATGTCTAAGCAGCAGTGAGTGGTCTTTATTATAGGAGGTGGCTGAGACAAGACCAGGCATCCTGCACAAGGAGAGAGAGCAGCAGTGAGTGGTCTTTATTATAGGAGGGGGCAGAGACAAGACCAGACATCCTGCACAAGGATAGAGAGCAGAAGTGAGCGGTCTTTATTACAGGAAGCTCCAAGTTTCACACTGGATCACTGAACAGATCTGGAAGAAATACACAAAGCTCACCAAGATTCAAGGAAGATTACACATGACACATTACTTTTGTTATTAGACAATATTTGCTTATCCTAAAGTCCAGCTTTAATTTAGGATTAATCACAGGGTGCTTTTCGAAAATGCACATTTTGAGCTAATTTTTTAAATATTTGCCTGAAAGAAATTTTTTGTCATGACTGTTAATTTTCTTTCTACCTAACAATGTCATTTTTCAGTTTCCCACAATGTCGCCTTATTGGTCACATGTTCTCCCTGCCAAAGGTGGTGGTCACTGTTCAGGCACTGATTTGTCCCAGGTCTCCAAAGCATATTCAGTCAAGGCATTGGTCACATGACTTGCTACAGAAGAGAGCATGGAATCCTCTTTACTCATTCATATTCATAGACTGAAACAAAGCTGCTTATAAATATTGGTCTGTTGGCAGGGTTTCACTTTTATTGGCATTTTTTTTAAATAATAAAAGGTGTTTATTGCATTTTAATTAGGCATACACACATAGTAAATGTAAGTAAACATATCTACAGAGAGGAAGTACATTGCAACAAACACTCATTCATACATTCATATAAGTATGACTGCTCTCTGATGCCAACTATCATTAGGAATCCTCATAGGAACTTATAACATGGAGTTACCCCCAATGGAGGGATGCTCCCCTAGAAGAAACCCTCACAATCATACTAGAAATGATAACACCTAGTTAAACATATGTTTATGCCAGTTACATGCTAAAGGCCTACTTTGTTTGGTGAACTACAGGCTGAGGGTCCAGTATAATGTTGTTATAATTTTGGAAGGAGGCAGGCTCTACTGTCGTGGTCGATAATTTTAAGTTGAGGCAGAAGCTCATTAATGAGTCCTACTAGTTGGTTGGTTTGGAACGGAGCAGGTTCTTTTAAGTTTAAGAGACAACTTTTGTAGCTTAAAAGTATTAAGTGGAAGTGTTTTTTGTCTGGCCGAGGAAACAAATGAATCTATGAGCCCCAGAAGACAGACCTCTGGAGTTGTGGGGCCTGTTTTCTTGGCATGGTTGAATAATTGCACTAACAACACAAAAATGGTCCCAGGTCAGCTGATGTTATTACAGCAGCATAGAAGCCATTCTTTATATATACTTAAAGCCCCTAAAAAACTGCTCATGCTAACTAAATATACACTGAGTGGCCAGATTATTATGACCACCCCATCGGTACTTCGTTGGGCCACGAGATGACTCCACGAGATGACTTCGTTGGGCCGCCTCGTGACTCCACAAGATGTTGAAAGGTGATGCGAGGAATCTGACACTGCACTGTTGCCCTTCTGTTGTCTTGTACCAGTCTTGCCACTCTCCGTTCTGAAGCCCCAGAGCCTTGGATGAGCAGCCCCTCAAGTCTGTGTAAAAAACTGTGATAAACTGTTGAAAACTTTGAGTGTGCAACAGCAAGTGGATTGTTCAGCTGGCAGCCATTAGCGCCAAGAGCTAAAGAAAACTTTCTGCCCTAACATTGACCAGTTGCTGACGGCCACAATTGGCACGTTCAGACCCAGATTTTCGGCTGACAGTCCAGTCTTTAAACACTTTAACAACAGCTGCTCTTGAACATTTAATAAATTCTGCTGTTTTGCTGATACTCGCTCCATGGCTCTGAGCGCCAACAATCATCCCACGTTCAAAGGCTGTTAAATCGCGTTGTTTCCCCGTATCTTCAGAAACAAATCACTTCTACTGTCGTGGTAAACAACCTGCTTCCCTATTTATAATGGTCTGGCCCTCTAGCAACTTCAGCGCCAAATTATAGCTAATTTGCCTACAAACGTCAGGTGGTCATAATCATCTGGCCACTCAGTGTATTTAGGCAAACCAACTTACAAATAGGATCCTGCATCTTTCTTTATTCACTTCCACATTTCCCACAGGTCCTTCCTGTATGGGCTCTACATCCTGTGCCATTTTTAGAAATAACACTTCTTCCTTTTTTTGTGTCAGCCCACTGATGATGTTCCAGATTTTGCACATGCGCCATATGAGATCTGGAGTAGCTCATTATTGAAGGATAACAAGCTGCGCCAGATTCTTTATGGTGCATGAGCTGAGGCAGCTTGTTATCCACTAAAGGGCCACTCCAAATCACATATGGCGTAAAGAACATATACGATTTGGTGCATATGCCCTACATGATTTGGGAAAGCTTGTGCCTGGGGCAGGCACTACTTCCTGGTTTCCCTGAGACAGGGAAGTCCTTAGTCCTGGCATCACAAGTCTCCCCTGGGAAGGGGCCACATTACCCCAGTGAAAACTCGCCATATCTTGTGCATGTGCTGAATGAGATCTGGGGTTGCTTGTTATTGAATGGTGATGCATGTACCATAGCTTTTTGGGTTATGAAAAAAAGGAAAGAAAAGTATTTTAATCCAATTGAGAAACAGTTGCAGGACAGATATATCACAGGTAGTAAAATCTTGCAAAAATACAATGTTATTGATCTTCTCTGAAAATGTTTTTGATTTCATTGACAAATATGACGCTCTTATTGTCATGGATAACTTTAATCTATATATTTATTCCTGCTCCATTTTTGCCTGGCCCTTTGTGTTTTCAAATTACTTAGCTTTTTTCCCAACATTTTACCCTTCTAAGCTTCTGACCTCTGTATTGCCCACTTCTCTGACTGAATCCACCCGTTCCCCCGCAGCTGTACCCAGCTCCAGTGTCCTCCCCTCTGCTCCCCGCGATGTGGCCCCTGTCTTGGTCTCTAGTCGATTTGTACGTCTCAGCTGGCGACCCCCCGTGGACACCAGAGGGAATATACAAGCCTACACCGTCTACTACTCCAAGGACGGACAACACAGGTAAGCTTATGAAACTGAATGTTTGTATTAGATCATTAGAAAGTAACAGAAAAATCCCAACTCCAGCCAAAACATTTTATTTTTGATTGGATAGAACAGGGTTTTTATTGTCATCTGTGTGCCTCGTGGGGAAAGTAATGTAAAATCTCAGCAACTGGGACAAAAACACATGTTTAGTAAAGTGAAGGGTTAGACTCTCTGGCAATGCTTTTACTGCTGTCCTGGTGACAACCATACACTCCATTTCTAGTATAGGTGCCGGACATAGATGCCAACTGTGCCCAAATGGCCAGGATGGTCCTGCATCTCAGCCCACTGTCCCGCTAGTGCTGTGTCATGTCCTGGGATCACAGCATCAACCTTATTTGAGTTAATGCCCATTAGGGATGAGTTTTGGGTCGACCATGAGTTTAACCCAAATCCATTTGGCTACTTTCCCCGTCAAACCTCCCACTGTGTCTTAGCAACCAATGACAGTGTCATTAGTTGACTGACGGCTGAACTGAACAGTGTCAGTGGCTGCTAGGTTGCAGAAAGCTGCACCATAGCAACCTATAATACTGTAGAGCCCCCAGTGTTTTAGCAACCAGTGATGCTGTTTGGAGCATCATTGGTTGTTATGGCGTGCCTATCTACATCCTAGAAACCAGTGACGTGAAATGTCACAGCCACTAGTGTCCCAGCAACTAATGATGTTCTGCGAGTTGCAGTCGGACCTGGGTACCATTTGATTGGATGTTTGCTGAACCCAGATATCTGGCTTGGTTCTGCAAATGTCCAAGCAAATCAAATCCAGGCATGTTCAACTCATCACTACTGCACATGCACAGTAACTCAAAAAGGCATTCATTCCCTGCAAATTTAGAGGTGGGTTTGGATGGGGGTGATGAATAGTCCTTGAACATTTAGAGGGGAGGTCTGGATGGTACTAACTCATAAAGTTAGCCTGATTTTAGCACATCCACTTGGAAAGTGGGCAAACACAGACTGTTAGTAGGGCAACAGTGTCCCAGGTTCCGGGACCATTATGTTAGTAAGAATGGTCACAGGGACGGAAAGAGAGGGAAAATATCCATAATGGGGAACACAGACCGAAATAAAAACCCAACAGAAATGTTTGTTTTCCCCCACAAAAAAAGGGCTGGAGTTAGGATATAAAGTACACATTCCATGCTATTACTAGAACCTTTCCTGGAAAGAATTCTTGCATGAGACTTTCCTATATTTGCTTGCTTGATGTTGCATATTTTTGTTATTTATACATTTGTAAATGCTTCCGTTAGCAGTAACTGTGTTTCCGTGATTAGCATGCCTCTTGTTATAAAGTTCTGCATAATAACTAATCCTCTACCTTTCTTCTGGAAAAAACGCAAATGAAAAACATTTAAAAACAAATTAGGAGATTAAATAAAAAACACTCCATCCGTGTTATAGGCACACTTGTATAGACCACCATGACATTGCTAGGCTTTGCAGGATTCTGGGAAAACTGAGGACCCCCAAATTTCAGAAGATGCTCCAGAACTGTGCAGGAGTGTATTCTTGTTGGATCTGGGATCCTCAGGTTTACATTGACCCCACAGAAAAGCCAAGTGACATTACCCTTGCCTAGGTAGCCCACCAGAAATATAGATGCAAGGTAGTCTAAAAGTGCACTTATCCTTTTTTCCCCCTGCCCTAACCTAATCCAACCTCCCATTTCACAAATGGATCCTTACCCCAATTTAATGGCCGCCGTCTCCCGTGTTTGTTTACAGCCAGCACAGCAAGTCTTCACTGTCCTGACTGTGCCTGCAGGTTAGTGCCCCATAGACTTCTATCCTGAAGCCAGGGACAATCCGAGATATTCCCACAGAAGTCTATGGGGCTGTAAATTGCAGGCACAGCAAGGAGAGTAGGATTTGCAGTGCAGGATTGAAAAAAAACACTGGAGGTCGCTGCCATCATGCCCAGGTAAGTATGTATCTTACCTGTGGAGGGGGGGGGTGGGTTAGCTAAGGTCAGGGGGAGGGGGGAAAAAAGGAAAAACGCACTTAGTCTTGGTGGAACTCCAGTTTGATGTAAATAAAACATAACATATAGGGCTGTATTTGTAAAAGCACAACTCCAGACACACAAAAACCCTTGCAGTGGTCCAGACCCACACAAACGGCAGGAGTCCCTTAAAGGGAGCCATTCCACGGATGGAGGAAGCCGAATGGAGTTAGGAATAAGGTAAGAATTACTGCACACATATATTTAATAATTACTTTGCTTTTTCATCCCTGGCCCATGTAAATGTAAAAATCAGCTTAGAATGCTGGTCAGAGGCAGGTTACCGGGAAATCAAAAAGCAACTCAGAAGGAGGTCAGAATAATCTCAAACTGATTTCAAATATAAGCTGAATGCACTTCAAACCATGCTGCAGTTGCATTTCTGTACAAACCCTAATTTATTCCCAGAAAGAAATGTTCCTTCATATACGGTATATTCTACATTTACTTATGATTTTTTTTTCTCCTCTCCTTTTTTAAACACAATACAGAAATGTATCCCGCTAGAAACACTTTCCAAATTATTATGCAGCTGAAATGTATGAGGCAGCTCCAGGGCTACCGATGCTAGGCGAGCTGTTTGGCTTTTCTTGATGTGTCACTGTGTAATCTCAGAAACCAAAGCTTTATAATGCAAGTTTTACCACTCAAGTGCATGGGGCCAAATGAATACCTCCTACTCCCCTAGTTTACTGATTTTGTGACACCCATTCATAGTACCTCAGTCAACTGGTTAACCTCAGTATCACATTAACAAAATTAGACCTTGCAGCCACTCAAGATGAGTCTGGTGGTGTGGATTTTGAAATATCCAGTTCTTATGTTGTACAGGTACAACAACAATGAGTATATATGCATGTAGTTTGCATGTTTTCCTGTGCTTGTGTGGGTTTCCTGCAGATACTCTGGTTTCCTCCCACACTTCAAAGACATGCTGGTAGGTTAATTGGCTCCTGTCTAAATCAGCCCTATAAGGTGTGTATGTGAAATAGGGACCTTGGATTGTACACTCCTTAAGGTCAGGGACTTATATGAATGTACAGTACATAGCCTACAATGGCTATGCAGAAATTCAGCCGTGCAAGCGCAGCCTTGCCTTAAAAACTCATTAAGAACGTCAGCTTTCGTAGACCCAGCTGAGCTGCACCGAACAAAGCTAAGCAACTCTAAGCATCTGTAAGCTTTAAGTTGATTAGCATCTCTAAATGATGATAAATGTCAGCATCAAATTTAATTGGCTTTCTGGGGTTTAAATTAGGAAAAGCACTACTGACCAGCAGAGAGGAAGCACTTACGGGTTCAATACACAAGAACAGTTTTTTAGCCAAAGTATATACAGTTAAGTTCAGCCAATCTTCTAATTCAAATACCTTTACTGCAATGCACAGTCAACCAGGAGACACTGCTGTTACCTTGTTCAGCTATTAAATGGGTAGACAAGTGACACAGGAAGCTTTAGGCCTCATTCACACTTGCCACATGCGTGAACATGACCAAAATCACCCCATTTAGTGCGTCTTCATGAAATGCATGAAAAGTGTGCAGAGTGCTTTCAGTGCCATTATTGTCTCAGGAACTGTAGACATGCTACAGGAGATGATCAGGGACTGTAGACATGATACCGGAGATGGTCAGAACCTGTAGACATGCTACATTAGATGGTCAGTGACTGTAGACATGCTACAATAGATTCACAGAGACTGTAGACATGCTGCAGGAGATGGTCAAGGACTGTAGACATGCTACAATAGATTCACAGAGACTGTAGACATGCTGCAGGAGATGGTCAGAAACCGTAGGCATGCTACAGGAGATTGACAGGGACTGTAGACATGCTACAATAGATCATCAGAGACTGTAGACATGCTAAAATAGATGATCAGAAACTGTAGCATGCTACAATAGATGGTTAGAGACTGTAGACATGCTGCTGGAGATGGTCAGAGACTGTACATATGCTACAATAGATGATCAGAGACTGTAGCCATGCTACAATTGATGATCAGAAACTGTAGACATGCTACAATAGATGATCAGAAACTGTAGACATGCTACAATAGATGGCTAGAGACTGTAGACATGCTGCTGGAGATGGTCAGAGACTGTAGACATGCTGCTGGAGATGGTCAGAGATTGTAGACATGATACAGGAGATGGTCAGGGACTGTAGACATGTTACAGGAGATGATCAGAGACTGTGGACATAGGAGATAATCAGAGACTATAGACATAGGAGATGGTCAGAGAATGTAGACATGCTACAATAGATGGTCAAAGACTGTAGGCATGCTGCTGAAGACTGTCAGGGGCTACATATGTGCTAGAGGAGATGGTGAAATACTGTAGACGTAGGAGATGGTCAGAGACTGTAGACATGCTACAATAGATGGTTAAAAACTGTAGACATGCTGCTGGAGATGGTCCGAGGCTGTAGACATGATACAGGAGATGGTCAGGGACAGTAGACATGCTACAGGAGATGATCAGAGACTTTGGACATAGGATATAATCAGAGACTATAGACATAGGAGATGGTCAGAGAATGTAGACATGCTACAAGAGATGATCACAGACTGTAGACATAGAAAATGTCAAGAGTCTGTAAACATGCAAGTGATGATTAGAGACAATCAACATGCTGCAGGAGATGATCAGAGAATGTACACATGTTGTAGGAGTTGTAGGACACTGAGGACATGCTTCAGAAGACAGTCATAGACTGGAGACATCATGAGACCGTTAGAGATCACTTTTCTTACAGCCCCTTTATTAATCAATGCTTCCACAATTGTGCTCCCTAAAGCCCCCTTAAAAAATGACACATTTATATTTCTCACAGCAAGAACCATTATAAAAGATATGAGGAGAACATAACATAAAATGGAATGGACTAAACAGGAAAAAGTAAGATAGTGTAAATGAAATAAACCAGGTCAACTTAAAGAAGCCAATCTAAAATATATTTT